GAGCTTTGTAAGAAGAGAAGCCAAAATGCCTTTGGCTCTTTTGGCTAGCTTTCCTCACCTCCTTGTCTTAGCTGGATTCAAATTCCATTCAAAAATTTAAGACGAAGTTGGCAGTAGTCTTCTGATAATGCCTTATGGGAGATGTGTCCAAATCCGATCATCTCAAGACAAAAAATCTTAAAGGTCAGAATTTTAAAAGTCATTTAAGATACCTAGATGTTTGTGTGTCTAAGTCTGGTACAAATAACAGTATCCCTGGGAGAAGCACTAAAAGCCAATGTTTTTCTTTTTGTGCTTTTGTTTTTCAAGAAATGTTTTATCTCGTTGTTTAAAAGGAAATCAAAAGTGCTCTATAGTTGTAGGATAATCATAGTAAACACTTATCCTGGTTAGAGCAATTGTAATAATTAACATCATCAACAGTTTGTATTTCTTAGTTGCTTCCAATGTTAAGTCAGTGCTTTTCGAACCTTCCCCTGGAATACCCCTGGTGGCGTAGGAGGGTGAAGATACACATTCTCATGGACTGTAGGCATGGTCCATATGATTGGTGACCTCCAGGAGGTGCTCCATGTTTATCTCTTGGCTCCCTGTCAGTTCCATCACAGCCTCGGGGAACATGTGTGTAGGTGAGGCTGAGGGGCGCACAGCCACAAGCCAGGGCAGGAGTGAGATGGTGGTCCAGAAAAGCAGAGGCACAGCTTTCAGTGCTCTGAGGGCTGTGCTCATGTCCTCAGAACTTTTTTTTTTTTTTAAAAAGAAGTGTTCCACTGTCTGTCATCATAGAGTAAAAGTTTGTACCAGGAGTTGTTAACAGTCTCTGATGGAAAAAAAAGTCACATGTAAAACCATTGTTTTGTTTCAGGCCGAGGGGGCCCCGGACCTTCTCAGAGAGTGCCAAAGTCCGGACGTTCCAGCTCCTTGGATGGAGATCACCATGATGGATACCACAGAGATGAACCTTTTGGGGGCCCTCCAGGCAGTGGTACCCCTTCTAGAGGGGGCCGGAGTGGCAGTAACTGGGGTAGAGGGAGTAACATGAACTCTGGCCCGCCAAGGCGAGGAGCTTCAAGAGGGGGTGGAAGGGGTCGGTAGAAGTTGGGGCTCAGGACCCCTCGGCCTCTCTGGACAGTATTTAAGAACTTCTGTGGACTTTCCAAGAGAAACAAAAGGAAACCTGCACCGTGTAGCCCTGAACTCTTTCTGGGGCAGCTGAATCCCAGGAGCCCCTGATGTCTTCAAGGTGAAGAGACTGCTGCCAGAGTAGCTGGCTACCCAGAGTAGCTGGCCTTGTTTTGTCCTGTCCACCCACACTGCCCTAAATCCCACGTGGGCTTGTGAAGATAAGAGCTGGAATTTTTTTTTTCCTTTTTTTTAAAGTGTCACAAGACATGGAACCTCCACAAATTTAAGTACATGTCCAATTGGAAATTTGTTTCTATATGTACAGTTTGTCAGAGAAAAAGTTGTTTTTGTATGAATACAGAATGTGATTTACGCAAGAATTAACAGAAAACAACTAGTCGTCAAGTGCTTGCCTTAAGGAAACCCTTAGCTTCCATTGCATCTGGTCTGCTGAGGGGTGTACAATTATTGCTTATATTTGTGAGCATACTTGATGGGAATCTCTAAGTCATCTAAAGTCATCTGTGAACTTTTTGTTTTTAAACAAATTCTTATCTAGCCATTCTGTCACACTTATTTTTGTAGTATCGTGAAAAATACTTCAAAACTATAACAAGGTTTGAAGTAGATTCAAAGCCTTATAATTAGCTAGATCTACTCTGGCAGATGGAAAATTATACACCAGAGGAAAAAAAAATCTGGATGTCCAAGTAGGGGTCTTCCTTGGCTGCATCTCCTAGTAATCACACCGTAGACTTGAATTGCCTTTTTCGGAAGAGAGGAACTTGACATAAACCAGAAATCAACTACACATACCTTCTGAATACTGTAAATCATTTCACAAATGGTTCTAAGTTGAAAAGGAATGGATCAAAATATCTCTTAAAACAGTTATGCAAAACTTAAATAATTTCTTCCTCTTCCACGCTAGCTATGTGGAAACACCAGTGTTTAAGGCAGAGGATTGTTCCAACGTAAAGTAAGCCAGGAAGTTCTCATCCACAACAAACTCCTTTAGTTTTAAATAAACGGAACATTTGGCCCAGTCTGAATTGAAAGCCAAAAGTTCAGTTTGAGATAACCCCAGCATACTTTCTATACTGACCCCTTACTTTGCTTTTTATAAAAAGAAAGCTTTTATTATTCAAAGGACTGTCCTGTGGCCACCCTAACATCTCATTACTTTGCCAGCTTCAGTTTGGCATAGGAGAAAAGTTTCCTTGACAGATTTAGTGGTGCTGGAGAGTGTCAGTACTTGCTTAGGAAAGGGATACTGACATAGTTGGAGAGTATATAAAAAACTCCTAACTGATTCTCCATTAATGTAAAAAATGGTAAGTGCTAAGTTATCTCTGCAGATAAGACGTTGACACCACACACACTGCTTTTTTAGGGTGTTAGAACCTAGAGACTACAAGAGATTTTACTTTGCGATTTAAAACATCCTATTTGATCAGCACTTTGCTCTAAACACATGTTTAGGAGACTCAGGATTGCTTTACGTTTGAGGATATTCTTTTTTTGTGTGTGGTACGCGGGCCTCTCACTGTTGTGGCCTCTCCCGTTGCGGAGCACAGGCTCCGGACGCGCAGGCTCAGCGGCCATGGCTCACGGGCCCAGCCGCTCCGCAGCATGTGGGATCCTCCCAGACCGGGGCACGAACTCGTGTCCCGTGCATCGGCAGGCAGACTCTCAACCACTGTGCCACCAGGGAAGCCCTGAGGATATTCTTTACTTGCCCTCCACTGGTATAGCTTAAAAAGAAGTTGTAATCAAATTCTAAGAAGCTAAAAAGGGATCCAGAGAGCAAACCCATACAGAGATTTAGGCTCCTTTTTTCTGAGATTTATGTGGTAAGAACTTTATCATAACATTCCAAGGCTTTAACTTGAAAAACACAGTACCTCAGTAAGCAGATAACCAGATCACACTTTGAGAATGAATTCATTTAGAGAAAACTGAAAACTCAACATTATATATTTATTAATTACTTAGTAATGCATTACTTAGTAAGTGATGCATTTTAAAGTATCACTGTCAAAATACATACAAGATGTTGTGCTTTGAATTTTATTAAAGCTTAGATTTCCAAACAGTGAATTCTTGGAAAAATGTTGGGAAAACAATTTTTAAAAATATAGTAGCATGAACATAAAAGTCAACACTGTGAAATCTTCAGCCATGCAAACTGTAGAGAAATTTAGAACTAGAATGCAGATTTAACAAGGGGGTAGAAAGAGCAGCCAATGGTACAAGTTTTCCAGTCAAAAAATCACTCCCCCAAAACAGTGGGTTTGCTTTTACAAACACCCCCTCCTCTTGAGGTAGGTAACCCTATTTACTGAGAGGGGAACAAGGCAGCATTGAGAATATGGGGGGTTGGGGTAAGTCTACAGTGTGGATGTTGGTCACTTTAGTGTCCATTTCTTGGAGCAGGGCTTAGGACACTGATAAAAATCTAAATCTTGAGGTTGGACAAAGGGGCAAGGCTTTACTGCTGCCTGACAGCCAGTTTCGGCAACACTGGAATCCAGCCCCAGGAGACAATTATTTTCAAATCGTGCAATCCAACATACAGAAAAGTGGTTCACAACCTTAGCTGGAAAAGGAATCATCTGGAGAGCTAAAAAAAAATGCTGATGCGTGGTTCCCATCCCCACCTCCGCAGAGACAGGCTGAGTTGATCTGAGGTTTGAGTCGTCAAGTAATTCTCATGTGAACGGAGAACCACCGGCATAGGATTTAAACATTTTAAATAGTTTACTTCCTAGTTAATATACAGCTAGTGACAAAACATGTAGTTTTCTGGACTCCTCAGAATATTAAGCCCATACTTTCTGGCAATAAATTAAGGTAAGAAGGTCCTATACAAAAGTTAAGTGCTAAACCTAAAATGAAGGAAATTTGGCAATTAGATATGAAAAGCATCTTACATTGCATGAAGATCAGACTGTAAAGTGTAAATTAAATTATAGTTAAAAAGCACATCATAAAATTAGGAATGAAAAAAATTAGGCCTTGTAGAAATCCATGGTTTCCATCAAATAGGGAAACCGCACGTAGAATCATGTGTCTCCCAGGAGTGCCCTAGCCCAGTTCTGCCCACGGACCTCTTACAGCATTTACATGCACCTTACTGAGTATTTCTTACAGGATGATGCTTGGTCCATCGCTTTCCTCATCTAATACAGAATCAATTTTCCTTTAATTTTATAAGGTATATTTACAGCTCCACTAAAAGTAGAAAAAACTGAGATAAACCGTCTTAACTAAAGTACTTTTAAAAATTCCGGTGGCTAAAGTCAGTATTTATTTTAATAACTCTTATGGATCCACTCACACTGAAAAATACGGAAAAATAATTTCCAAGAGCCGAAGACAAGTTTACTGTAGTTAAGCTACTACAGTCTACCACTGGATTTTTTAAAGTGACAAAACGTGGAACAGAAGTCTGAGAAAAGTAATAAGGGCAGTTAATTAAAACGGAAGAGCTAGTGTTCTTTTTCTTTTTCAACTGAGTGTAAACTAAGACCACGGTTAACGCAAAAGCAATTTATCATAAATGCTTCACAGTATGTCACCAACTCAAGGACAAAATTTAGTTCTCATAGCACTTGCTGCTGAGTATAGCACAAAACGCCGAACTTGAGGAGCTTCCGAAACAGCTCATGTCTCAGTTTTACAACAGCTGCTCAGTTTACAGATTTCGCTGGCACAGTAAAGGAGCAGCCTTTGCCTCGCGCGCTCCGGGAACTGCAGGCGCAGTCCTTGACATGGCGAGCGCTGGGCCCCTGGGCCGGCTCCGTGTGGTCTCCCGACGTCGCGTCCCGGGGGCGGACTCTGCGTCCATTCCGACGGCGCGGGCCCCAGGCCTCTCACACGGGGAGCGCCTTGGCGAGGGTGGCTCCCGGGCCCAGGCGCCCGAGCGCCATGCGCAGCGCGGTGCCCGCGCCGCGGGGCAGCAAACCCAACAGCACGGCGAGCAGCGCAGCCACCTGCGCGCAGGCACCCAGCGCCGTGAGCAACGTGCTGCGCAGAGCCAGCGCCGCGTACAGCGTAGCGCCCAGCGCGGCCACGTAGAGCAGCGCGGGCCGCGACGGCGCCTCCTCACCGCGCAGCAGGCGTCCGCACGCCGCACCGCCTCGCAGGAGCGTGCCGCCCGCTAGCGCCAGCGCCGAGCCCAGTGACCACAGCAGCGCGAACTTGCGGGCGCGCAGCAGCAACACTGGGGCGTAGAGTGCGGCCAGGCCGAAGCAGAGCGCGGCCAGCAGCAGGCACACGCCGCTCGCCGCCAGCCGCTGAGCGCGCGGCACGCTCGGCATGCACGTCGGTCCCG